GAGTGATTACTGAGTGTGCAGCATGACAGAGGAGCTGACAGAGAGCACAGCTATGACAGAAATGAGCACAAAACAGCAGAAAAAACAGCTTAAGTTAGCTGAAAGTAGCTGACAAAAGTTAAATTTGCACAAGGAGGCTGAAAGAAGCTGAACAAAATGTGACAGCACCAAAGGTTGTAAACAGATCTAAAGATTTGAAGGATGTAAAATTAATTTTCCACGAGGAAACAAAGTGGCCGAAAAGGCTAAACATTTCAAAAAGCTAAAGTTGCACCAATACCAAAGGTCATAGCACCCTTCTCCTGAACGAGCTGAACGTTTAGTTATATGATTTTTTTGAAATAGCTTTAAACCTGTGGGACTAGAATCGTGCCGAAAAATGTACGGAAGAAAACTGGACCACAGTCGTAGAGTGAATGCTTCATAAACATTCACTCTGTTAGTTGCAAAATGTTCCGGCTGTTTCTTAATTTAAACCTCTTACTTTACAGCCTTTTCTATCCCATTTCATTTAATGTGTAGCTGTCAAGAAGTTCAAGATGACCCTATTTGTCTCAGAATAAAGTACAGTGTCTTAGTTTAAACTTTTGATACGTCTGTGTTCCACTGTCAACGATTTATAAGATTAGGAAATCATTGCAACCTGTTTTTGTTTGCATTTACATTCCATTTCTTATTAATTTTAGTCATGGAATTTAAAGATATTGCTTCTTTTTTTTTTTTGACACATACCTTTTTAACCAAATTTTGACGTGAGCCTTATCAGACACATCTATATTGCGATCTGTTCAAGATGTGGCAGTCCCATCAGTATACTGGTAATTTCTCCCATCTGGTTTCTGGCAGACACAACAGACCAGCTTGTGATCTGATCTTAGCCTGCCTAAAAACCAGTCATTCTCGTTAATGCCGCAAAAATCCAAATTGACCTTGTGTGTCTCTAACCCTCAAGCCGCAGTCTGAAATTCCAGCAGCTTGGAGTCGCGCTGGAATTTTCCACAGCCGTCCAACGTCTCCCAATCAGCAAGGAGGAACACATTACTGAAAGCCACGAATCGTATCATGCCTGTCTCCGCACTGTCCCCTGATGCTGACAAAATTCAGAGAAAGCTAAAGTCATCTAAGGGCTCTGGTAGCTTCGAGAAACCATTTCCGATTGTGCAACAAGAGACCTCGGCACCAGCGCGTCTCACAATGAACCTGAAGAGGCTCAGGGAGTCAGGTTGCTGTGGAGTCGGCGAGCCTCCCTGGAGACGCTACTGTTTTACGGGAATACAATACGGTTCCCCCTCAGATCAGATTCTTGAAGTCATTCATCACAGCTCTGTGTGGATGAACCTGTTGCTTCACAGGAGTTCACAGCAGAAAACTTTTCATTCTTCTCCCAAACTGCTGCGGCTGTCTTACCATAACAGAAATCACAGCTGGAGGGGCAGTGCTTCTGCATCAGCTTGCGCCTGCTGTCGCAATAGCCTTTCCGAGCCCAGCCAGGACATATAAAAAAGCGGTCCAAACATCCTGGAAGAGAGAGACGGATTCAGAGGGAGGGGGGAGGATCAGACAGCGGTTGTCGCTTAGCAACAAAAAGAAACTGGATCACCAATCTGCTTTTGGTGCCAGTGAAAATGACTCACCACAACACACATAAATGATGACTCATGAGTAGTTCTGTACAGTTGGCATTAATGCCACGTTGGCTTTTACTCATCACAGACAAACACAGAAGTCCAGTTTCCTGCTGGTTTGGACCCAAACTGCACCACCACAGTTCTGCTACTGCCAAGATCAGACTTTAACATGTGCCACTGTGTCAGATGAAACAATCATTTTCATCTGATTTGGCCTACTGTCGTGGCAGATCGCCTGCTCGACTGCAGCTAATGGGAACTTGCCATGCATCATGACAGCTGATTGGGCTTTTGGAGTCAGAGATTTGTCCTGATGTCAGAACCTGCATCTTTTTTTTTTTTAGCACATTAAACAGCATTATTGAAACAGTTGTCACAACTGGTTGAAAACAAATTAATTCTCTTGATGGCCTTTTAAAGAAGTTGTTTGGCTTTAAAATGTCTGTAGTTATCATTATACTTGGCACTTTGCACCAGTTTCTGCCCCAGATCTGTCATGTTGTCTGATTCCAGGAAGAAAACTGGACTCTGTCTTTAGGTTCTGTTCATTCAAGAATGTTTTACATGATTAACAGACTTAATAAATCCAAAATCCTCAACTGTTTTTTACACACACAGGAGAAAATGCATTTTCAAAAGAAGATAATTCAGTTCAGTTTATTTATATAGCGCCAAGTCACAACAGAAGCCGTCTCATGGCGCTGAACAGGAACATTCATATATATAAAAAAATCATAAAAACATAAGAAAAGACATCAAACATAAAAAAGACAAGAAACACAAGGGTTCTGAACATACCGTAGAGACGGTGCAAACCCCACACCTCATCCTGTGTGATCAGCTTGCGCCCTGTCCGTGTTGCATTCAAGTGCATGATAGCTTTTGGGTTCATGGAATGCATGAGTCCAAGAACGTGACCTATTTCATGAGTTGCTACGTGGACAAGATCTGTCAGCCAAAACCCTGTAAGATAGAAACACAACTGGTTATTTTCCTTTGTTGGTTTCCAGTTGAGATTCAAATCCATCATGTTATGACTTAAATAATCATTTTTGAAGAGTTGTTCAGTCAAATAATTATCAGTAGTTGGTAACTTTTCAGCCATGACATCAGTCAGAGAGCATGGAGGATGAAGAAAGATGTGCTAGTCCATGAAACACAAATGACTATCTGAATAGTACCTTTATAAAATTGTTTTAGGCTGAAAATGATATACTAGTCTAAACAAATGCTACATTAGATAATATTAAACCTGATTTTTTTTTTTTTATACAGTATTTTTATTGGAGGTATCAAAATGGTGCATTTTTGGACTGTGGACCAGAACAATAAAAAAGAAAAACCTGTAATCTCTTAAATAAAAAGCTGTGCTTTAAATAATTTATCTATCCTCTATAACTTTTACTTTGAGTATTTTGTTGTGTTAAGTCAGCCACATCCAACTATATTTATTTTCATTCAACCTTTATATATACAGGTTAGTCTCACTGAATCACGAGGACTAATTTTCAAGAGACTTGTTTTAGACAAGGTACACAACATTAAACAGCCGTAAAATGCACATTAAATAAAATAAACGTAGTGATATAAAATAAAATTTAAAAAGCTACATTATGAAACGATGCAAAATACTAAAAATAGGAACATGTCTGCAGTGATTTTTGCACTGAACTTAACAGTTGTTTAAAATCTCTAAGAGGTCAAAGTTGACAGCTTCAGGTCTTTTTGCTAAGGTGTTCCAGGAAACAGGAGCGGAGTAATAAAATGTATTTTTTCTGAGTTCAGTCCACACTGAGAACACACTGCATGTAATGATGGCTTGAGAGCGCATGCAGTAGCAACTGATTCAGCACAACAATAAGCAACTGGATCGTCGGCATAGAAATGCAAGGATGCGTCGGGAATGTTCTGACCTATGTTACTTATCTAGATTGTAAAGAGAGTGGGTCCTAAGACTGAGCCTTGTGGTACACCATTATTGACGAAGAAGTATTGTGTTAAACGCATTGCTTTCAGTCTGAGGTTTCGGTTTTAGTTTAAGCAGCTACACATGACAAAGTAAATACTAATTTAGTTAAAATTAGTTAAGAAATAAGAAAGTTATGGTAATTTTAGAGGAAAAAAGGTAAATTTCTCCAAATGAAGCTCAGATTCTGGAGCTTTAAAAAATACTTCTGGGTCAACAGGTTGTCATGAAAGTTGCTGAGATTGTAGAAGAATTTTTCTAAAGTCCTGCTTCCCTTTTGATTAATCTTTCACTTGCGATGTGCGACTTTTGACTATGTGCGACTGTATTTTGCTTTAAATTATAATCAGGTGTGTTTGCTCAGTATATTCCTGGCAGTGTTAAAGAACATGTTCAATTGTTCCATGGGAAAATAGTTTTGTTTGTTTGTTTGTTTTCTTTTGAGAGTTGGTCCAATCTGCACTCCATGCCAGTTTGTGGTAGTATTACACCATTTTGTTTGCCAACCGCCTGCAAAATTGAAAAAGAAGAAGAGTGTCGAGGTTTAATATTAGCTATTAAAGTATTATTTCACACCGGTGTGCAGTTTTTGAGAAATAATTGTTTTTAAAGACTGATAAACAACAAAACATGCTTTCTCTTTTGGCTAGCTATTAGCTTAGCCTGGACTCCATGAGTGATGTCACAGCTGATAAGGTACTGTTGATAACGAAGGGACAGAACATTTGTTCAGAAACAACCAGAGTATCATTTTAAACATTAGTAGCTTCAAAATATTCCTGCCTTTCTTCCAGCTGTAGCGCATGTTTCCCAGAATCCAATATTCGTGGTCGTCAAAGTGGATCTCGCCTGTTGGCGGTAAGTATGCATGGGCCAGTTCGCCTGTGTTGCCGTCAAAACAAGGGTGCAAGTAGGACTGCAGACAGTCTGTGTGGACGATAGGGTAGAAGCCTGCCCAAACAGAGAGAGACAAATCTGAGCGCCAAAAAGGAAAGCCCTCCCTCCATTATATCTGCTCGGTGTGTAGACTGCAGCTGCAAAATGATGAATTACAGCCACAGAAAGCTCTGCTCAGCCCTGCAGAGTAACAACCAAGACTCCCACTGCCACTGAAAATTTATGCTGGGGTCTCCAGTTTGCACCAGAAGGGACACGTAAAGCATAATTCAGGATGCTTTGCCGTGCACGGAGCTTTCTTTCATTCAGAATTATAAATCACCCTGAGCAAAAGCTTGGTAACACAGTCACGCTAGAGTGGTTTAAAGAGGCTCGAGTCAAAAACACTTCTTTGATTCAAGTCCCAGCTGGAGGAATGCATATTGCCCGCTGCCTTTCGTGCCACAGATTTAGTACTAAGATCATCGTCTGTTGAGAAATGACAGAGATGTAGTGGTTTTGGCAAAAATAAGAAGAAATAAAAATAGGAGTACAGTAGTCCCTCGTTCATCGCGGGGGATCCGTACCCTGAAGCCCCGTGATAAGTGAAAAACCGCGAAGTAGAAATAGTAGTACAAGTAGTAAGTAATAGTTTATTTTATTTTATTATATATACATATATATATATATATATATATATATATATAT